AGATCTACCATTGACCAATTGGTCTACTTAGATACGGCTGTCCAACTTGCATTTGCCGAACGTAAGCACCTGATTGCCGTATGCTTCGATATTGAAAAGGCCTACGACACTACGTGGAGGCGTGGAATCATTGACACGCTATACCATTGGGGCCTACGTGGGGAATTAATAAAATTTATCCATAATTTCATGCAGGACCGTTATTTCAGGGTTCGGGCTGGAAATATTTTTTCAACCAGCCGAACACAAGAGAATGGTATACCTCAGGGTTCAACCCTGAGCGTTACTTTATTCTTAGTAGCAATTAACCGCTTGCTGGAAGTAGTAGACCCCGAAGTTGGCAGTTGCCTATACGTAGACGATATGACCATATTCTATTCGTCCGTCGATCTAGAACACTTGAAAGACACACTTCAAAGGGCTATTGACCAGATTGCTACCTCTGCTGAAAACATGGGCTTTAAATTTTCCACCTCTAAAACAGCTTGTATCCACTTTTGTCGACTACGAAGGTCACACGACGATCCGATATTGACACTGAAAGAGACCCCAATCCGATACTGCGATAGTATTAGAATACTTGGGCTAATTTTCGACAAAAAACTATACTGGAAGGAACACATACAGGACCTAGCTACCAGATGCAAAAGAGCCACAAATATTATAAGATGCTTATCGAATATATCATGGGGAGCAGACAGAGAAGTACTTTTAACACTCTACAAAACATTGGTTCTATCTAAAATGGAATACGGAATGTCTTTGTTCGCCGCAGCAAGGAAGTCACACATCAGAACCTTAGAAAAGGTCCATAACCAGGGAATCCGACTATGCATAGGAGCTTTCAGGACAAGCCCCGTAACATCTATATATTGCGATGCTGGTATTCCTCCTTTACCATACAAAATACAAGTTTCAACACTAAATTATGCAATCCATGTGTGGGCACAACCAAATCACCTGAATCACCGCATTATCTTCAATGACGAAGTAAACTCGCTTTATCATAATCGACCAACTATTACTAGGCCAATTGGAGTAAGAATACAAGAACAACTCAGGACCCTTGGGTATTCCCTTCCAAATGTATACCCTATTGGCTTCTCCAGAACACCACCCTGGTGTATTTCCCAACCAAAAGTACTTCTTGAATGCTCCTCAAATAAGAAAAGCGAAACTAACCCTTCTGTCTTTGTCCAATCCTTCCTAAACGTAATTAATACCTACGACTACCACTCCGCTATCTATACAGATGGCTCGAAAACTCAAAATAGTGTAGGAAGTGCATTTACAGATGGTGAAAATGGCCGAAGCTTCTCCCTAAACCCGATGTCATCCGTTTATCATGCAGAACTTTACGCTATCATAAAAGCGTTGCAGTACATAGAAAATAAAGAAGATGGTACCTACCTTGTATGCTCTGATTCCAAGAGCTCTTTAGAAGCAATTCAAAAACCCTACAGTACTGATCCTATGATCCAAATGGTGCTAGACTTACATCACGGTCTCAAACTAAGGAGAAAGGACATCATCTTCGTATGGACACCAGGACACGTGGGAATTCGTGGCAACGAACTTGCGGACCAAATGGCGCGGAATCCCCAGGTGGCAGCTTCACTAGAAGATCGCACTGTCCACCCAAGTGATCTCAAAGCACACCTGAAAAATAAAATACTGGATGAATGGCAACGCACCTGGAGCCAAGGAAATGATAAATTGAAAGTACACAAACAACACATCAACAAGTGGTACTTACCCTCCTCGTTATCAAGACGGGAACAAGTTGTCCTAACGCGTTTGCGAATAGGACATACAAATCTCACACACCTCCATCTTATCGTAGCGAATCCCCCGCCTCGATGCAGAACATGCAACAACCAACTATCCATAGAACACGTTCTGCTCGAATGCCCTTCCTATTATCAGGCGCGCCAACGCTATCGTATACCAAACACAATACCCGAGTGCTTCAAAGACGAGGCCCACATCCTGCGAGTCTTAGATTACCTGAAGGATATAAATATATTTAAAAAAATTTGAAAATTGTAATTCCAAGTGAAGAACGAACCTTATTTTATAACGAATTGACCCATCACATAGGAAACCTATGATCCGGGATGCCCTGGAACAAAACAAATATGGATCAGTATCTATACTACATGTTGTAGGAAAGTACTTACTTACCTGTGTATCTTGCCTGAATACGAATGTGTGTACACGAAAGTACAAAACAGCTGCTGAGGAATATCTGAAAGATGGAAAGGAACATAAATATTACGTACACAAATAAATCAAATATGCTATTGATACTTTCCCTGAAATGAAAAGAAGCACCCAGATCTACCCCTGGGTGAGAATTAATGACCTATATGGGAGGAGGGATACGGCAAATGACCTCAGCAGTCGACGCCGTGGGATTAAAAAAAAAATAAAAAAAAAAAAAAAAAATAATAATAATAATAATAACAATAATAATAATGATAATAATAATAATAATAATAATAATAATAATAATAATAAGGCCCTGAAAATAGTAAAGGCATTGAGCGACGATATCCGAATGGATTTCGGCATTGATAAATGTGCCACAGCAGTATCTAAAAGGGGAAAGACTTGAGAAGTAACGTAGAGATAAGAAATTTGAGCCCAGAAGAAAGTACAAGTACCTTGGATGAGAAGAGGCAAATGGAGTAGACAACAAAAGTGAAAACTTTGAAGGAACAGCTTCAGAGAAAGTATTATAGAAGGGTAAGGATAATACTTGGTACGGAATTATCTTCTAAAAACAAAATGACAGCCATTAACACTATTGCAGTTCCAGTATTATACTGCAGCTTTGGTATAGTAGACTGGTTGAGAGAAGACATCAAAAAAATGGATAGAAGAATAAGGAAAGTTTTCACATCAGGAAAGATCCACCACCCACTGGATGATTTCAAAAGACAAAAAGGTGGCAGAGGCTTATTGGAGCTGGAATCAAAGTATGAATCAGAACTGCTAAGCGCTAGGTATCGAAAAAGGAAAATACTGCAATGGAAAATAGACGGCAAATGTAGAATGTGCTCAGAGTCAGAAGAGCATGTGAGTCATATCATCGCATTTACAAGGCATATGGAATTGAACTTACCGAAAAATATTACAATCATGTTACAGAAGCAGTAACCAACGTGAAGAATGTAGAGACAGATGTTACAATTCCGTGGTACCTTGCTAGTATTACATACCGGCAAATCAGTGCTTATCGACCTAACATCGCTTGATAGAAAAAGTAGGACATGTCAATTCATCGAGATCTCAGTACCCAACGACCGCAACATTCAAATGAAAGAAAATGAAAAAACTATCAAATACAAAGGTCTGGAACTGGAAGTTAGCAGAATGTGGAACGTTAAGACAAATACAACACCGATCATAGCAAGCGCTCTGAGAACAATCAAACATGGGCTTGACGCAAATCAATCCCAGGGAAACCATCAATGAAATAAATCCGGGATTGATCCAGAAAATATTAGGTTGAGCGCCATCGTAGTTCTTTTTCTACATATCTTGTCTTGTGTAGTTATCTTTGCTGTTGATTTACTTTCTCATTGATGTATCATTGACACTTTTTATGGCGGGTACCAAACTATGGATATTTCTTATTATAGCTCCGATCAGACAAATAAACAAGACACGAGGCATCATAACTCTTGTTCTAAATGTTAATCAGTTCATAATGCTATTTCATTTATGTATGTTGGAGCTAGTAACAAAGTCAATATACTTTTTAGTTATTACTCCGACTGGAGAAATAATCAAAATAAGCGCCGCTCTCATTATTGTTTTACATGTTAATAACCATAATAAAAAATATTCATATTCCACACTTTGGCACCCGCCGCAATAGGAGTATACATCAATAAAAAGTAAACCAACACAACAAGAACGATGGCAAGACATGTAAGAAAGATCTGCGGTGGCGCTTGCTATTATCCTTTGCCAGATCAGATCAAAAAATCCCAAGTAGAATAGATTTTTGTGTTACATATCTTTCTTATTTTAATAGCTGAAATTCCGACTGTCATCACTGGGATTTTGGAAGTTGTAAGAGACCCGAACTCGCTTAAATGAGGGCAAAGTTGCGTATTTAGGTAATTAACAGAATGCCGCCTAGAGCCTAAATTCAAAGTACTTCCGGAGAGAGACGGAAAAACCTAACTATGCCAAAATGATTTTGAAATTTTCACTGACTTCATTTGTAGTAATATTTCAAAATAAACTGCACATTACTGTTGTCACTTTTTCTGCTCTACATCATGGCATGATTAGAATTTCCTCTTGTTCTAAAGCACCGACTTTATTTTGTACATTGTTCACTGCTAGATTTATTTCCGTCTTTCTCAGTCTTCCAAGCTCTGTTGCTAGAGATCTTAATGGTGAGGGTCAAATTTGAAACACCATGTACATACAGTTAAAAACAGTTTTTAGTTAAACGGATTTCCTAAGCTCTGAGCAGGCTGCCACGTCGGACCGGGTTAAGTACTGAGGAGAGGAGATTTCCAGATACACTACCTGTAGGGCAACGAAATGATATCGACAGACTTATTGTATGCACCTGTTTGACTGACTTATTTGTCAAAGGGTCTGGTTTGTGTTGAATATAATCCTTTATGAACTGATAACGGCGTTGCCTGGAAAGTGTAGAATCAACCTACTTGACGCCTTTCTTTTGAAAGTGTACTTGTTTTTTCAAAAAAAAAAAAAGACAATAAACTAGAAATTGAAGTCAACCCTAACTGTGTCTGATACAATCGACCTTTTGAAAATATTTTATCGTTTAAATGCAAAAATATCCTTACATGGATTATATCACGAAAAATACGAAAAAAATCAAATTTAAGTATCACTTAGGATGGACGTTAAAAGATTACTATAGTGCATAACACTATTTCATAATACTCACAACCTGTACAATGATGATATCTATGTTTTTGCGGAAAGTCTAATCGTCTTTGTTTCCTGTGGAAGTGCATGAAAAAATGTCTATCAAAGGATGCATCCCATTCCACAGGCCAACCTAAGATAAACTATAGTGAAAATAGGAATTCAATCTGCTCATAGAACGTTATTGATATTGATATTGATGTTGTCTATATTTTGGTCTACTGCTAGATGAAAGGTAAGTGCATATAACCTACATAACTTTCTACGCTATTAGTGTCAGCGGGAACGAGATATTTTTACTCTGTTTTAATTTTAATGTGGTGTCTAGGGGATCCAGGTGTCCGACGCTAAGATTTTCTTTAACGGAATGAGGCTTTCAAGAGGGGGTGTAAAAGCGGCACTGCAGGAGGGAACGATATACAGGGTCTCATATTCCGGAGGCGCAAATTCATGATTTCTCTATTTTGATGTATTCGGTAGCACATAAATCAGGTTTTCTGCCTCATTTTAGCTCCAATTTGTTGTCAGTACTACTACCCGCCGAACTACGCTGCCCACATTGCACCGGAATGAAACTCATCATGGGGAAAGTACTTTCGAGATTAGTGAACTAACATGTGGAGTAGAGTGTTGGTACTTTCGGGGTCGGCAGGAATTGCCGGTGAGCTACTTGCGTGGCTTCGTAAGGATATCCAGGGTTTCCCGAAAAAAGTGTGCAATATTCTAAAAAAAGTTCATATAAACATAGTTCGACAAACATCCCCTAAGGACGCTACGCTCTTTTAAAGGGGCTCCCCTGAAGATGGTTTTTCCTTAATATTTCCGAAACCTATTGAGATAAAGACATAAAATTTGGTATTCTAGCCTAGTTTTTTATGCTGGATTTAAAAATATTAACAATTTTAGACAGTCTTGTTTGGAAGCGTATGTAACAGGGACGGACTCAGGTTATTTGAGACCAAAAATTTTTGTGTGATTCTATTTTTGAAATTCAATTTTAGAACTTGAAAATATAGGGTTTTCTACATAAAAAAAGGTACTCTTATTGAATATCGATAAATTGTGTCATCCTAGAATAAAATCAAACTAAAAAATTTGTCACATGTCCTGCGAATTTAAATGAATTGTTGAATAATTAGCCATGGCAACGAAAAAACTAATTTAATAATTGGTAAATATTACATAAATACATATTTCTATTGCAACATAGCTAACATTTAGGAAAAAACAAAAAAAATAAATTTTTTCTACGAACGAAATTGAAATTTGTTTAAAAAAGAAGACATACAGTTGGATATACTTAAAACTAGCTTTACAATTACTGTTCAACTAAATATCCATTTTCTTGGATACAGAGTCTCGCTCGACGAACTAATGATTGCGTAGCCCGAAAAATGGAAAACCTTTTCTTGCTACTTCATTTGCAGCCTGATGGATTCTTTGAAGTAAATTTTCTTGAGTATTTGTTTCAGTCGAGTAAACTAGGTTTTTTAATGACCCCCAAAAATAGAAATCCAATGGATTTAGGGAGGTGAACGTGGCGGCCACGCTATAGGACCTCGTCGGCCTAACCACCTGTCTGGAAAATTGACATTCAACCAATTTCGAACATTGCTTCCAAAATGTGCAGGGGCGCCATCATGTTGATAAAACATACTTTCTTGAAACTGCTGGCGCACATCCAATGGTATTATATCCATGAGCTCATTCTGAAGAAAGTTCAGATACATCTCTGGATTAAGACGATTGGGAAGTACAATAGGCCCAATTACTTGATCCCAAATTACTCCTGCCCATCAGTTCAATGAAAATTTATGTTGGAAATTTGTACGGCGAACAACTTTTGGATTTTTATCTGACCAGTGATGCATGTTATGGAAATTGAAAGCACCATTCCTAGTAAATATTGACTTATCCGACCATAATATTCTAGGAATAGCGTTTTCATTTGCTAATACTCACTGGCGAAACTCGATTCGTGGTAAAAAATCTGCCTCCGTTAAATGCTGCACCCGTTTAAAATGATAAGGATGTAATCCTTGCATTCTTGTCATTCTTCCTATCTAAAATTATTATTTTTTAACTATCAAATAGGTATTCATAAATTTTTCTTACTATTGATCGAGGTATATCCACATTTTCTGAAACATTTCGTATGCATATTTGCGGATTATTTTCAAACATATTTAAAGCAATATCCATACGATGAGTTCCCAGTGACCTTCCTGAGCCCTGCATGCGCTGGAAACTTCCATGGTTTGACAAATTCCGGTGAATATCAGTAAACATTCGACGTCCAGGTACTATGCGATTGCGAAATCTTCTTTGATATTCTCTTACGACTGCCAATGAACTGCCATTGCAAAAACCGTACACAAAATGCATGTCAGTCAGTTCCCTGTCTGTAAATCTTGGCATTTCAAATCGGTTTAATACAAATTTTGATTTTAATCTAGTAATTTAACACTGCTAACAATGTCAGCTTAACGTCAAAATAAGTAATAACAAATCAAAACAACTTTTGTTTGCAGTCATGGCTAACTATGTATAATCAACAATTCATTTAAGTTCGCAGTACATTTCCTATCATGTGACAAATTTTTTAGTTTGATTTTATGCAAAAATTGCACAATTTATCGATATTCAATAAGAGTACCTTTTTTATGTAGAAAACCCTAAATTTTCAAATTCTAAAATTGAATTTCAAAAATAGAATCACACAAAAATTTTGGGGCTAAAATAACCTGAGTCCGTCCCTGTTACATACGCTTCCAAACAAAACTGTCTAAAATTGTTAATATTTTTAAATCCAGCACCAAAAACTAGACTAGAATACCAAATTTTATGTCTTTATCTCAACACGTTTCGGAAATATTAAGGAAAAACCATCTTCAGGGGAGCCCCTTTAAAAGACCGTAGCGCCCTTAGGGGACGTTTGTCGACCTATGTTTATATAAGCTTTTCTTCCTATTTTAAGCTCTACAAACCGCTGGTAGAATATTGCATGCTTTTTTCGGGACACCCTGTATAATAAATTTATAACAAATGCATAATTTTCACCTCATTGATGAAAAAAGTCGCAGACGTACACCTTTTTTCTGCTCGTTACCTTCTTCTATCCGATCGTCCATTCCAGAAGATTTAGATTTTGACAAGCGTCAGGAGTCCGGTTTTCGCGATATAGATGACTGGGTGGTGCGACTATACCAACCAGTCAAATTAGCTCTGAATATGTATTTCAGCATATAAATATATATATATATATATACAGGCTGTTCATTAGAAAAGATCCCACCAGTAAACCGCTGATTAAAGAAACGCCAAGACACGGCAAACGATTTGTCAAGGGGGACAACTTTTTGAACATAAACTACTTCACACCCATTCGGCCCCCAGGGCCATTCCCTTAAAAATTCTAAATACCAAGGAGTATCGAGTAGTAGCTTATTTAAAAGCTCTTTCGAAGTCCTTTATTTTGACGTTTGATTTATTTAAATCAGTCGACTCGTTTTCGAGAAAATTAGAAAAATCTTTATTTACATTAATTTTTTGAGGTAGAAAACGAAAACACGCGGAAATATCACTTTTTATTTCAATAAGTGTTCAAAATGTTGCCCGTTAGGGTTTGCCAAATCTACAATTAAATTATAATTTAAAACGGAAAAAAATCGAAAGATTAGATGTGGCAACAACTAAATAACAAACCGATATTTTTCCGCATTCCTTTTTTCTTTCATCAACACAGATATCCTGAGTGAACTGTATTTATTATCATACCTATTTAGTTATTTGTTGCTAGGGGAAAGAAAGAATTCAATTTGCTGTCAGTTACTTTTGTGACAATCATGGATAGTAAACATTAATTTATTGATCTGGATTTTACTTTCAAAGTGGTTTACACACTATCCGAAAGAGTGGAAATGCTTCTAATTTATGGTGCCCAAAATCAATGTGCTCGGCAAACTACCGTCACGTTAAACGCCAGACATCCGGGGAAGATAACTTTGCATACGTATGATTGGGACCTTGTTACTAAATTTACTACTATGTTGCAAATAAAAAACGTGATCATCCGAGAGTTTTAGAAGAAGCCGCTCAAGTTGAAGTTTTGGGTCACTTTGAAATAAATCCTTATACTTCATTACGCAAAATTGTTGCTGCGATTGATATTTTCATTAGGCTCTGTACACACAGTTACTAAACTCCATAAATCTCAATCATTTGTCAGTTTTATAAAAATGCCTTTTTTATTCTCCAATCAAGAGTTAGCGGATACTCATTTTGTGTATGGCTTTGTAAATGGAAACGCAGCAGAAGCAGCCAGAGAATGCGCACGAAGATTTCCAAACAGACGACATCCAACTCGCTCAGTATTTGTAAGAGTGCATCGCCAAATAATTGAAAATGGTTTTGGAAATCTCCAAAGAGATCAAAACATGAATGTTCGTCAGCGCAGATTTACCCGTATGATTCTGCGTGAGTTTGATAGAGATCCGCCCACAAGTGTTAGGAGAGTTTCTGGTGCCTTAGGAATTTCAGCAAGCCATGTTCACCGTGTTCTTAGAAATGACCATAGACATCCTTACCATTTGCATCCTGTGCAAGGACTACAGCCAGGGGACGGAGAACGAAGAATCACATTTTGTCAGTGGATTCTTGTTAGAACTGATGATAATAGGGAGTTTTCAAGTAACGTTTTATGGACCGATGAGTCATGCTTCACTAGACGTGAAGTGGTAAATTTCCATAATCAACATATTTGGTGGCATGAAAATCCGCATGCAGTTCGGGAAAGAAATTTTCAGCATGAATTTAGTGTGAACGTGTGGATTGGTATCTACCGTAATCGACTATTTGGACCCTACCTTTTGCCTGCAAGGTTAAATGCTGCGACCTTCTTGGAATTTTTAAAGGCTGAAAATGCAAATATGTGGGATGATGTTATGTTAGATTTAAGAAGATTGGCCTGGTTCCAGCTTGATGGTTGTCCAGCTCATTATTCGAGAATAGTTAGAAACTGGCTGGACGAAAATTATCCAGAAAGATGGATCGGCCGTGGAGGACCAGTCGCCTGGCCTCCACGGTCCCCTGACCTAAATCCATTAGATTTCTTTGTGTGGGGATTTCTAAAAGAAAAAGTGTACCAGACTCCCGTAACCACAAGAGATATGCTAATAGACAGAATCAGGAATGCATGTGATGAAATAAGGCCTTATTTGAATAATGCTATACCACGTTCGATCATTGTGTATTGAACAATTGGGTTTACATTTCGAGCAACTACTTTAGATTTTGTATGTTTGTCCTAACTATCCAATAGCATCCAATATTCATTTAATTTGTTAAAAATAATATTGGAAAATTAAACAAATTAATATTCTGTTTTTTTGTGTTTATTTGGAGTTAGGAATTATTGCTGTGTTTAAAAACACAATCTAAACGATCATCGTAACTACTTGTAATGCCCAAATCGAAAATGTAAAAAAAAATATTATTTTCCCATAAATAATTAAAAATGCATCTAACCTTAAAAATCGAAATATCTCAAAAACGGCTAGCTATAACGAAAACTTACAGGAGAGCTTTTTTATGCAGAAGAGTGCGAAGAATCAGTTTTTTTATTGAAAAAGCAAAAAATTGCACTAACAAAAAATTTTCGGTCATTTTAATACACTACGGGTACAGTAGAGAGCGCCCTCTAGCGGCTACAGTAAAACTATGCCATTGGTTGTTTTTCTAATTTTCTTGAAAACGAATCGACCGATTTTAAAAAATCAAACGTCAAAATAAAGGAAATTTTCAAGGGGATAACCCTGGGTTGCAGAGGGTGAAGTAGTTTTTGGTTAAAGAGTTGTCCCCCTTGACAAGTCTTTTTTTTATATTCCAACTACCACGAAGGCCTAAGGCCTAAATACCCATTGGGTACCGTGGGGCTATAGGGGGATACAGGGGAAATGGGGAACGCCACACGGACTCTGGCGAGGGAACACGTGTTCATGCAACATGCACACATTCTGGCTCCGCTTATGAGATCCGCCGGGTGGTACCTCCACGTTCGACAGTTAGAGACCGTCTACCACCTACGGACAATCACAACATCCATAGCCAAGAGAAAAATTTCTCCTGGGACGGGACTCGAACCCGCACAGCGCACGGCGACTGATCAGGAGACCGAAGAGTCTACTACTGCCGCCACCGCTGCTGCCTATGACGTGTCTCTGCGTTTTTTCTTTTAATCAGTAGTTTTCGATAAATTCGTGGTGGGAAGTTCAATAACAATTCACACACACACACATTTGTCGTCGAAGAATTTATGAAATAGGGCTTTGTACTGCATTAACAGAATTCAGTTTGTTTTCTAATTGACTGACTGAAAATATGTATCACCTAATTATGAACCGATATATTGTCAAATTTCTCAGGTATTTATGCCTGCTTAAAATTATGTTTACAGCATACATGCGATTCTTGATTCTGATTGCTCAAATTTGCTCCTTATGATCAAATGAATATAAAGGATTTTATGAGGGATTTCTATTTCAAAAATGGGGTTTCGATGCCATTTCTGCTCTGCACAAAAAGTAATCGACTATATTATTAATTAGATCCATTACTTCTTGAACTTGCGTTAAATTCGATATCTCTTTTTCCAGTTTCTGACGCCACCATGGGCCATTCTTCTCGAACAACACTTGTTGAGCTTTCGCTACTGTCACTGATTGTAACATGCTTATGTGATTGCAGATATCAGTTTGATGATGAGGCTTTAAACAATCAAAATCAACTTTACAAACAACTGATTTCCGACGGTTGGTATAGGTGTGATGAACCAATGCCTGTTTACAATGTCAACTGTACATTGACTGCTGATATCAAACCGCAGTTGACTTCTCATCTCTACAAAGTTTCAAACGGTTTATCGAGCAGATGTAACAATCAGAGGTTAAGGGTTTTCATTATGAAACCTCATAGTGGTTATCTATTACCAATATTTGAAACAAACCTTGAAATGGATATAATAAAGCATTTGCACTTAGATGGACTAGGCATTGAGAATATCAAACCAGGCGTTCTTAAATCTCTGAAAATATTGGAGTCGATTCACTTAAGAGAAAATAATTTGAGGACTATCGGAGATAATGTCTTCAGGAACGTAGTTAATCTAAAAGAACTAGATCTTTCAGATAACAGAATTTCGAATTTCACACCTGGTTGGTCCAATGGTTTAGATGGGTTAGAAATTCTCAATCTTTCACAGAACCAGTTGATGGCTATACCGTTACAAACTTTCAATATATTAAAAAATTTGCGGGAGCTAAACCTCAGTGGAAATGGTTTGATCATGGTGGAAACTTCGCAGTTCAAAAATTTGAAGAATCTTACTTCCCTTGACTTGTCTAAAAATAATCTTTATAGTTTCGATTTCGGAACATTCGATGATTTGCAAAATTTAACAACTCTCAATATTTCTTACAACAAATTCAAAGTATTGCCTGTATACACTTTCCATTCCATGGGTAATCTGAAAAACTTGTATTTCACTAACAATGAGCTAAGGGATTTGCATATAAATTCTTTAAGACAATGGAAATTGAAAAAGGTAGATTTTAGAGAAAATTCATTTTGGTGTGAAGTTTTATTACAATTAATCGATTATTTAGAAAATAAAAACATTTATTTTGAACAACAAGTTTCTACCGACGGTGAAAATGTATATAAATTCAAATGTCAGAGCCTGTATAGCGACTATGTGTCTCTAGAGAGATATACATACATCATAAATGATTTTTCAACAAGACTGCAAAGTCTGTCTGATAAATATGATAAGGTTCTAGTCAAATTAAACAAGCTGTGGGACAGAATTAATGAAATGTCCAAAAAACTATAAGACATATTTTAATTTTTAATTTACATACAAATATTGAAATGTATTGTTTAGGTTTAAGTTTATTTGCTATTGAAAGTGTCTAATAAATGTATGGACTTGAAATGTCTTTTTACCTAAAGTCCTGTCTATCTTATAAATTATTCACAATATATTTTAATTATGGTAATGTGGATAAAATTTACCAAAAGTTTATATGTTTTGAAAATTCTGATGAGATAACAAAATCAATATTCAATAGCATATTGATAAATTCTCTCTTCTCTATTTTGTGCAATGAATGTTACAAGCTTTAGCATCGTTGCTCGAATTGTTTGCTGTTAGAATGAGGTGAGTTTGGGATGTTGATTGATTTAGTATTCACAAATTATCATTGAAAATACAATTATAGCGTTTTGTGAAATAGCATATACCGGCTGTTCTAAATTCGACCATCAGAATTAGGTTCTCGGATATGGACACTCGGACGAAGTAAGTTGAGTGTTTTTCATACGGATTTCATCTTCAATATACAAGCCAATAATTGTTCGCCAAAAGGAGTAGTTTGACATTTCTCACGAGAAGCGATTCATGTAAAATTGAGTACCATATTCAATAATGGAACAGATGTTTCAAAAAACTCAGTTCTTTTCCTTTTTAGGGGCAAACATTTCTACGACTATGGTATAAATAAGGCACGAACATTTATGAATGTATTGATTATAATGTCAGTAGTGCGTGTGCATCTTAAGTCAATATCTTAATCCACTCCGAAAACATGATTACTTCCTACGCCACTGGCGAGGAAATATCGTAATCGTATAAGTTTTGAAAAATGAGATATTTTTCGTTTCTTATACATGTACATCATGAAAAACTATGTCACTCAATTCCGTTGGTTGAATCACCAATAAGGAGTGAAATGAATTGTTTCCCGAATTTCTCACTTGTAATAAATAATCTTATTTATATAAATGACACGTTAAGGTTACTCATTTTCCGGTAATGAATAAAACAAGCCAGCATTTATGGAAAGACAACATGTTTACCTATCCCTACTTCCTTACTTAAAAACGAAGAATATTGTTATTCAATCACCCTGAAATGACTGAACGTATCTGGATGACATTTTTTAGATTATAGTCTAGAATAGCACCTAGGCAACTTTCACTTTCCACGCCTACTGGCGAGGAAGTATCGTTATGTGGAATTTCACGTGAAGCGGACAGCAAGAAAAGTGAAAAATTCGTTCATAATGGGCCTGTTTTTCAAGGAATTTTTTCGAAATATTTTAATATGAAACCATAGTGTTTTATAAATGAAATTTTCTGTACTTTCTCATAAAAAAAAACAAATTTGAAATTCAAAAGAGACTCAAGGTACTAAGCCGAGAGTAAACACCTCAAACCAAAATTTAGACAACCTCCCATTTTTTTATTTTTGATTTTTTTACTCCAAAATATAGCCTGAAGTGTGTTTTAAATACATAAGAAGTTTGGAACGGTATAATGGTATGTGCATTTATTAAGGAGAGATATATTTTTAGGAACATACATATCGCCCTAGGTATGACATTAGGTCGACTGATTTGCGAGATATTGGATTAATAGGCTACACTATGACTATTTTTCAATTCTGATAGCTATTTTCAATATATTTCAACACCTAATTATAGTTTACCTTAATATCATTTTCTTAAATATTGAAATTAAAAAAAATAGTGTGCAAAAACCAGAAGTAAACGCTTCAAGTCGTAATTTGTTTTTCTACCATTTTTTATGTTTTTCTGTACTTTAAAATATATCCAAAAGTGATGCTTAATATATGCTTGATGTTTTATACTCTTATTTACTAATGAGAGGTATATGTTATGTACACATGTATTACGTTAGGCGCTTGCTTATGTCGAGTGGTTTGCGATATATCGCGTTGTAACGCTAATGTATACTAAGTGACATATAAATCCGAACACCCAGTTTAAATGGTTTTATTTTAATAAAATTTTGTATAAGTACTTAATGAAGCATAATAAGTAAATGATAAAAATTTCAAAATGATTGCACTGCTTTGAAGCCCTTTGACCTTTAATAATGTGTGGATGCACCCTGATGTGCTACGCATTCTCCAACGCGCCTAGGCATGCTTCTGATCAGGTGGTCAATGTCCTAATATGGTATCTCCAGGCAACCACCAACTCCTCTCGAAGTGCTTCTAGAGTCTGAGGAGGACGTTGCAAATTGAGCAATCTCCTACCCATCATATCCCACACGTGCTCAATTGGGGATAAGTCGGGAGATCTTGGTGGCCATGGTAACAATGTGACATCATTATGTTGAAAGAAGTCTATTGTGACTCTTGCAACATGTGGTCGGGCATTATCTTGTTGGAAAGTTGGATCTGCCAGGGTGTCAAGATAGGGTAACAGATGGGGTTCTAGAACTTCGTGGATATAACGCTGCGCATTCATGTTACCTCTGATGAAGATTAAAGGTGACCTGGAACCATAACCTATAGCATCCCAAACCATAACTCCAACAGTGTGATGAACATGTCTTTCAACAAAAAACTGTGGATTCCTCCTTTCACCACGTCGCCTTCTAACCCTGGCACGACCATCGTGCATGCCTAAACAAAATCGAGACTCGTCACTAAAGACAATACTGTTCCATTCCTGATCCCAGAGTGACCGTTGTCTGCACCACTCAAGGCGATTACGTCGGTGTTCTCGAGTTAAAGGGAGGACCCAGTGTGGCCGGTATGAAAACAAGCCAAAACTTCTCATTCGTCGGTAAACACTTCGCATGCCAATAGGTCTTCCGTGTTCTGCAAACCATTCATTTGCAATGGACCTGGTAGTGGAGCAACGGTCCCTTAAGGCCAATAATCTTAGGCGGCGATCTTCACGGTCTGTTGTTCTACGGCGGCGTCCAGTGCCCCTTGCTCTTTGCGTACGGCCTTCTCGAAGCCATGCCTGACAACACCTAACCACAGTGTCTACACTTCTTTGCACTCTAACTGCAATTGCCCGAAAAGAAAGTCCAGCTTCCCGAAGTCCCACTATTCGGCCCCTATCAAACTCACTAAGTTGACGAAATCGTACAGGTCTCCGTACTCTAGGCATCGTAACCGATCGTAAAGGATGTCAAGAACCAAAATCCGCCAACGTTGATTCTTTACTGCGGCTGAAATATTCATTTTTAGAGCGTTAGTGAATTAAAAAAAAGCAGTATAAAAACCGGAATGTCCAACTGATAAGGCTGAAAATTTTTTCACTTGTTATTTACAGTAAGATAAATACATTCACCAACTTTTATTAAAATAAAACCATTTAAACTGGGTGTTCGGATTTATATGAGTATTTTTAAGATATAATAATGATTTTTAGGTATTACTTACATTTGGACAGAAATTGTTGTTGCAATAAAATAACATGTGTCAAAATATTTTTCAGTTTCTATGCTTACCACAAACTGTTACACAGACATCTTGTAGAAATAGAAACAGGTACATTGAAAATTACATCATTTAACCGCTCTCAATATTTACAAATAAATCAAATGCATGCGCTCGAACCAATTTTCGAAGCACTTATTGCACTCGTTTGCTGGCATATCCAAAACGCAAATTTTTGAATGCGCCAACTGCTTCTTCTGGTGACTGGAACCTTTGACCACGCAATTTTCGAGAAAGTAAAGAAGTCGTTAGGACTTAGATCGGGACTATATGGAGGATGGTCCAATAATTCCACGTTTCCTTCCGTTGTTGGAGGATGATTCTTCTTTCGGGCTTGACTTTTCGAAGCTCGGTGACGACTTTTGGCAAACAAATGGTGGTATACCAATCCGAAGTAACAGTCCTTTGCTCATTTAGAGGAACTGTTGCAATATGACCCGCTTTTGACACAAATGTCGAAACCAGCTTTTTCGAAACACTTCGAGAACGGATGACTTTTGTTGGCTTTTCTTCACCTTGGAACACCCAAATTGAGGTCTGTGAGATCTCAAGGATGCCTCAATCTCGCGATATGTCACATGTCTATCTTCAATGATGAGTTTGCGCACAGCATCGACGTTTTCCTGGATGACTGCCGTTTTTGGTGCACCCACACTGGGATCGTCGCTAAAACTCACCCGTCCACGTTTGAATGCTCCATACCAACGGGAAATTGTCGACTGATGTGGTGCTTCGTTGCCGAAAACAGATGGTAACTCAGCAAGGCATTCTTGTTGCGATAATTGTCTCTGAAAGTTAAAAATGTTCTCGGTTGAGTACCATTTTTCTAATGACTTGGTGACACTTAAAAATTCACTGCAGTGAGAACATTCTTGTGAAACTTCGAATTTAAGTTTACTAAAGAGTGAGGTTAAGATTCAGTACTGACGTTCGATTCGCGCGGCCTACTGTTTCTATATGCAAAACTTAAAAGACATCCCTCGTAAATATGCCGTTTCTGCAGACTTGCCGACAAACAAGCGCCCAATGAATGCGCTTCATATCTTAAACTTTCTAGTGTACTTTAAACACACATAGTTTGGAGTGAAAAAATTGAAAATAAATACGAATTAGCTCGAATTTTAGTACTTCCGGTTTGGCACCTTAAGGTTTTCTTTCAATTTGAAATTTGGTTTTTTATCAAACTGTACAGAAAATTTCATAGACGAAACGCTATGTGTCATACTCCAATATACTACTTTTGAGTTCGAAAATTGTAGAAAAATTCTTCGAAAATTATCCAATTTCAAATACGGCTTCTCTTTCGCAGCCCAAACTTAACAAATGGACGTAGCGTTAGAACGCTTCTCGTTCTTCAAAGTACAGTACCGTCTTTAGAAGCCTAAAACTGCACAAGATTTTTGCATGCCCCATCAGTGATAACCTCTCAGGTCTCGTAAGACAGGAAGTCGCTGCCAGACTTCTTTTCTTAACGGCAGAGATCGACTTGTTACTCCTTCATGTAGAGTGAAGTCTTCAGCAAAGTTGTGGATTGGATTGATCATACAGGAAAGGAGATTGTTGATATGTAGGAGGATCAACCAAGACCGATCATGGCGAACCTTCCGTTGACCTCATGGGGTGAATAGAAGGACCCGTCAACTATGACGGATATTTTCCGGAGAGATATGAAGTCAGTCATCCGTCAACAAACCTTCTCTGGGTGGCCATAGGATGGACGTCTGCATAAGAGGGCAGCATGCCACAGCTGATCGAACGCCTTCGTGATATCAAGAGCAACGAGATGAGCCTCACCATAAGACTGGATGAGCTTACTCAACAGTTGCGTGACGTAAGCTAGGAGGTTCTTTGTGGATCGCTTGTACCGGGAACTACACTCCTGTGCTAATCAAGCCGTGACGTTCGAGATGCTCCAGAAGCTCGCGATTTATGCACCTCCTCATCACCTTACTTATAAAAGAAATGAGAATTATAGGCCTGTAGTTGTAAGGATCGGTCTTAGATCATTTCCTATGACAAAGCTGGCCAGGAAGTATTGTTACCGCGAGAATGAGAATTATGTTTTATGGATGGTATATGTATGACATGTACATATACATCCCGAAAAACCATGTCACTCATTCCCGTCGGCATATAACTTAAGAAGTACCCAATTCCTGACAGGCTTTCGTCTGTGATAGTTCTACTATGGTTTTAGCTGGATAAGGTATGTAGAACCGAGACAAACATCTTGTGGTAAACTTTTCGATGTTCTCGATACCCCAGGAAAAGGAGCGATGATACCCGCCAGTTGTCGTACAGACCACGACCGAGTTTGAATGAGAAACAGCAGTCTGATGAGTCCGTCTAGGAGGTTTAAAATCTACATATTCCCAAGTGAGAAAGAAGAACATATATGCAAATATTATTTGTATAGAGCAGTTTGACTGACTTGATCTATTTAATATTTTGTTATAAATGTTCGCAGCTTATTTCAGAAGTGCTAACATGTGCCAGATATATCTCATGACCGTTTTGCGTGATAAGTACAGAGTCAACCTACTTGACGCCATTTTTCACTTGGTGTTCCATATGCTTTGTTACATAAGAATTATTTCGTTTCATATAAGCTCCATTATCGGTGCCTGTTCGACAAACAAATACGGAGGCATGCGGCTGTTCCTAAATGAAGCGGATGCTGTGCATTTTTGCATGACATATCGCTTCCAAGATTAACCGGCTGCACGCATGCTGCAATCCTGACGATAATTAGTAAATCGAACGCGAATGACGGATTGCATCGGCAACGGCTGCACAGCTGCAGCTGCACGGCAGGCATTTGTATATTGCTGCTGGATGGACGCAGGGGTGGAGGAATTTGGACAAATAATGCTGGTGAGTAGCTGATTGCAAAGGAGAGAATATATAACTGAACAGGAGTTCGGAGAGGTATGCAATATGTGAGCACTTAATTTTCCCATAACATCCATAGTAAAGCTGAGTTCGGCTGACAAAAGTGGCGATTCGGCACAAGTGATGTAAAAGTTAGCTTCGAATATGTATAACAAAAATCATTAAATGGATCAAGTCAGTCAAACGGGCTCACACAATTGCTTCATAGGTCTCACCCCTACAAAAATTTTTCAAAATACGTCATAAAAAACAGTGGACCTGTTCTGAAAACTACAAAACTTTATCGTATGTCCTTGGCGCAGTATTAACCATGTTATAGACGGGCCAAGGACTAGAAGACAAACAGACCGATAGAAATGAGGAGGAAATGGAGACGAAATATACTGCCACGCAGTGACATGATTGGTAATTAGAAATTGTTATCAAAAACGGGTATTTCCTCCCAGGGCTTGAATAACAGCTCTCATCCTCTCTGGCATAGATTCACTCAAACCAGCTATTGTGTCTAGGGATATTTGCTCCCACTCGTTTACCAGCGCCTGTTCCGACGCAGCTAGAGCTTGAATTGCTCCATAGTTCTGTCTAAGCCTTCTTCCACATATGCTCAATGGGGTTGAGATCCGGACTCATTGGCGGCCAATCTAGTACTTGAATTCCAACATCATTGAGGTATTGCTAAATTTTCTCCTATAAAGGGCATATGAGGAACCACATGTTCTTCCAAACACTTTCTAATGGACCTGTCGGCAGGAAGGTGTCCTCCTCGTAGCGAAACAAGATCTGTGCGAGACTCCACAGAAACACCGCCCCATAGCATCACTTCCCCACCACCAAATTGTACTCTAGGAGCGAAACAACTTTGAGCATAGCGTTCTCCACGCCTTCTCCACACTCTTTGGCGAACATCAGGTGAATATATCGTGAAACGAGGCCGTCTGTAAAAAGAAAATACCAAGCGCTGCCTTTGATGACCTGCATCCAATAGAGGATCTGTAGCAGGTACACAAGATGATAGGTTTCCATGAACATCATGCAATCTTCGAGTCAAAGCTGTAGCGGGTCATTTCTCGAAGAGTTTGAAGTCTCAGTAGCCGATCTTCAACTAAATCTGTGTATCGCATCGAATACACCGTACTGCGTGGAACGGCAAGCCTTTCTGCGATATACCGAATAGGTTGACCATCATCTTGTACAGGTACAGCTACTTGTTCCGGTGTCATTTTTGTTGAGTATTGCTTGACAAGAATCTTTTTGACATGCCATACAAATGTTAACAGACACAGCCTACTTGAAACAACTTCCTACCCGGCAAAGGCTGCTTGAAACAATCGCTTATTTATGGCTATGATTTGCATGTTTTTTTTAAACAGTATATATTCTTCAATAATTGAGATTCTCATACAAAGACAAATTATTCGGTAATCCAATGTTTCCACAAGGTGTTCAGAAATATGGGGAAAAGGCACCTTTCAGTTACACCCTGTATAACAACAAACATTTTCAATTTTTTTACAAGATCGACAGTCGAAAATGATGACAGTGAAATTGCCTACAACTTGACGAAAAAATTAACGAAATTGATGCAAAGGTGAAAAAGTTATTTCAAATTTAATTTGAACAAAAGTTTGTTTGTGCGATTAATTTTGCGTGGCAGTGTAGTTTATCGTGATATACATGTCATATTTATAAGACCCAAAAACATAACATCTGATCGAGATGTTTCGTGATTATAATACCTTCTCGCCAGTGGCGTAAGAAGTAAAAGTATTGCAGATACTCATTAGGCCCCCCAATATACATGACTCTCATTTTTCATCAAAAATGAGGTAATAGGTAATAAAATGTGAATGGATGGATGCAGGAAGTGATTTTCAGAAAAAATTTGTGCTCTATTAAGTTATAGGAGCAACTTCATGTAAACGTTGATTTGATTTTTACATGTAGTAATGCCACTGTGACAGCACATCGTTGCTCAGGCTACACCAGTGGCGTAGAAGAGAAAAGAGGACTTTCCCACGCCACTGACATTTAAACATTTCTTGTATTTCGACCTTACATGAATCGTATCGAGAAGGTTTCGTGCCCATTCCTTTTGAAGAAGATTTAATTGTATATTCAATGTGAAATCCATGAAATTGAATCCAATTCTACACCTGGGTGGTCTTTTTTAAAGTACAGATAAAAAAGTGGCACTGCTTTACATGCATTCATTTGTCTTTGCCTCGTCAGTAACAACCTCAATGTGTAGGTAGGTATGAGTATAAGTGGTTTCCGTCCTGTAACCGTGACCAACCGCAGACAGCGCTGTCCCGTATTCATTAGCAACTCATCAGTGTGGTATGGGTCTTGCCTTGTGCGCAAGTAGGGGACGAGCGCCACCTACCAGTGACTTTCCAAGCTGGTTTCCATCGTCATCCCATAGTATAAAGATGAGAGGACACTTACGTCTTCTGGCTCATAGCTCCTCGACCTTCTGCCCTATGAACAGAAGATGTCGCACCACACTAAGATGACGGTCGACTCTCAAGCAGTCGAAATACTATGTATCCACAAGGTTTGACATTATGTACG